GCTGTCCTTGGCCTCAGCCCGGGTTTGCAGGCTGCAGCAGTGGTCATGGGCACACGCTTTGCACCTGCCATACTGATTTTCGTCTTATTTTCAGCATTAATTTTCATGTTTCTGGTGACTCGGAGAGCCATGGCTTCCTCTTCACCAGACAGCAGCTTCGCAGGGAGAAGCAGAACCAGAGCTCCAGAAGAGCCAAGGGCCTGAAGTAGCCCAAGTCAACAGCCGTTCCTGCTCAGCACGCCTAAATGTGCTTATTGATGTAACAACATTTGTTGATCACTTTTTCTTGTTATGACCACCTTGAGTTTTGTCAATAAACCTCTTACAGTAAAATCTTTATTGTATTACATTATGTTTAGGTGTTATTATAATCTAGTATATGTTCTCTGCTATACAGGTTCTAGATCAGGAAGTACAGCATTTGTATTCCTTTCCTATTGTTACTGTAACAAGTTAAGACAACACAAATGTGTTATCTTATAGTTATGGCCATCAGAGTCTGAAATGGGCCTTGCTGGACTACAATGAGGATGTTGGTGAGATTGTGTTTTTTTCTGGAGGCTCTAGGGGAGAATTTGTTCTGTAGGCTGCTCCTTGGCTTGTGACTACATCACTCCTCTGCTTCTGTCCTCATGCCTATTTCCCTGACTGTCCTGCCTTCCTCTTAGAAGGACCTTTGTCACTGTATCAGGTCCACCTAGCTCTCAAGTTCCATATTAAGTTACATCTGCAGTTTCTTTTGCTCTGTAAGAAAACATACTCACAGGTTCTGAGGATCAGGACACAGGCATGTTTGGGTGGACTATTATTCAGTCTACCACAACATTCATTATTGTTACATCAGGCAACAGAGGAAATGTGTAAAATTGAGACAAGACTGAAATGTTAATAACTCAGCTCCATAGCCTAGAAATCAAGGGAAGCCAGATCCTACATGGATAACCAGGATTTGAGTTCAGCCCCAGCAGCTTGGAAAACATGCTAGGCACATGTGTATGTGCACACGCCTGGACACCCGATAGATTGAATACATGGAGAAGTGATTACAACATGACCACAACAACTGGAGGGGTGTTTTCTCCTCTCTGTCTCTCTGGTGAGTGCATGTGCCTCTGGCAAGTAAAAGGAAAAAAAAAAAACTTAATTAAACCTTAATACCAAAAGATTGAAGTTGCATAGAAAGAAAAGTTATTAAGGCAGTTGGTAATGAGATTATGTGAAGTTGAGTGTTAATATAATTAACAACCTTCAATTTAAAAGAAAACATAAATGCTATATTGCTTTGAATCCAAGGTCTGTTTAATGCAGTAACTACCCAGGGATCATTTGTTTGACACATCTATAGTATCAAACGAAATACTCAAACATACTCTTCAAACCCTAGTAATTTTATTTCTTTAGTCATTTATTTTTGTAAATACATATGTGATTTTTCAAAATTAGAGAAGTCCGCGTTAAGCACCTTCTGTCTCCTAGTCACTTGGGTTCTTTCAAAGGCAGTCATGTTCCTAGGTCTCTCTTCTGCAGTTGTTTATTCTTTCAGAAATTGTTCATTTTAGAAGCTTCTCTCCAGAATCACTGAGGTATTGGAAAGTTAATTTATTCAAAATTTTTGGTTATAAACTTATCTGTACTGCAGTCTCTATGTCAATGTTATTTATAAAACTGTCTTTTTGACATTGGAAATAATTTCTAGTATTACCTGAGACACCATTTTTACATTTTTTGGTGATAGCTATCTAATAAAGTATTTACTGCTTGATAATCTACAAAAGAAAACAGGATATTCTTTAATATTTAGGTTTATTTAGTTTTTTGATCCCACTTAATTTTTCTTTCCTTACCGCCCCCCCCCCCAAAAAAAAGGGGCTGCCATCTGATGTCAAGGAATGGGCTCTGGAGGCAGTGCCTCAGTTCAAAATTTGAATTCTCCAACTTCAAATTGCTTGGCCTGGGGCAACTTGGTTGACCTCTTTGGCTTTGCCTTCTTCAGATATAAAATAGGCATAATAATAGTGCCTACCTCCTAGGGTTAAAATGACGGCTAAGGTAAGTGCTTCATAAAGCATCTGATTTATATATCACGCTGCAATCCCTCCTCCTCCATTCTCCTCTCAGGATCTTGGGCACGCACGCATAGGCGCCCTGTGTGAGTTTTAAGCCACCGGGTCCGGGACTTGAACCACGGTTGACTATGTGGGACTCCAGCGATGTAACCATTACGCCATCTGCTGGTCCCAAGAATCTGATATTTACTAAGTACCAATGACCCTTGATATCAGAAGGTTCTGTATCTATGGATTCAATTAATCACAGATAGAATGTGCTTTGTTGCTGCTGATGTATACTATGTAGTTTGGCCTACTGTGGTTGTGTCTATACTTGAAGCCATACAAACTTTTTTTCTTTTCGTTATTCCCTCAAGAATATAGTATAACATGGGACCAGCAGTTAGCGTAATGACTATGTTGCTGGACTCCCATGTAGTCGACTGTGGTTTACGACCCGGACCCGGTGGCTTAAAACTCATGCCAGGCGCGTGTGTGTGTGTGCCCACGATCCTGAGAGGAGAATGGAGGAGAAGAGATTGTGGGGTGGCCATCCCCCCGGGGGGTGATTTCTTGCTTTCTGTCTCTCTGTCTCTCTGTGTCTTTCTGGCGAGCACATGCGCCCTATAGCAAAAAAAAAAAAAAA